TGCCAAAAAGTATACAGTTTACAGAATATCAACCACTTGATTAGTTGACATAATGGAGTTAACAAGTAACTGGTATTGATAATTGTTTCTAAATTAACATGTTTTTATAAATACTCTTTTGCTTCCTTTGATAAGATGACAAGAAATACCTTATTAGGAGAGAGAGAGAGAAATACATACGATAAAATGATAAGAAGATCACTTGCAACACCAACAGTGAAAGTCTTATTCAAACTTACACGGCAGTAAAAAATGAAGGAAAAAAGAAGACAACACTTACAAAAATGAACTCACATGATAGTTATATTATAAAGACAAACGGTACTTATATAATTATTCATCATGACATATACATATTTATAGCAATCTAAATATCAGGGACATAAATACTTACATGATCCTCAAAATCTGGGCTAGTTAAATTGATAGACAGGTTTCTCATTAGCAGTAGCACCTAAAAATATCCATGAAAATTTATTTGTAAGTACTTTTGAACAAACATAAATTCATTTATATAACTGTAGTAGACATGAGCTAATAAAAAGTTAGATTCAAATAAATCTTCAATGTCAACTTAGTTGTATGTCTGGATGAATGATGACAAAACTGATTTTGGTTAAAATTGCCTTTATGTGATGTGATCATGTGATTTATGTTTGGATGTTTTTATTGTAAAGGCATGTTAGTAACTAAAGTCAGCATACAACTTTTTATCCAATGCAAAAGCTAATCAAGTAGTTTCAATTCTGAATCAATTCTATATCCAGCATGAATTATTTAGTGTGAAACCAAACATATGGAAATTAATTTAAAATCAAATTAACTGGTATTTCAAAGTGATTCTAGAAAACCCAGTCTGAGACCAAAATACACTTAAGGAGTAGTAATTAATTGCCTGAATCATATTAAAAACCAATTTGATAAGTATCTATAACACATTCCAACCTAGCTGAAAAGAATAACAAATACTAGATGGAGGAACGTAAACATACTGTCTCAACGTCTATACGGTCCATCTTTTTTAGCTTCTGCAGATGTTCAGTTGCATTTGGATCAAATACACTGCCTATGAAACCATATACCTGAGTAAAATCTGGAAGAACTGCATAACAAAAATTAAAAACTGTCAATTTGAAAATCAAGACAATAATGAATATAAAAATCAATATTACTGTAAAAGTAAAACTTGCATGACAAGAAAAAGTTATATTTGTATAAGGAAATTTTAAGTCTGTCCGTATGAGGGTTAAAGTGGGAGTTTGTATAAATAAAGCTATTCAAACAGCTTTGGAGACATGACATGATGAATATGAGATGAAATGAGTCCCAAAAACATCATACTTGTTGAATTCAAATAAAAGCTGAAAGCTTATAATTTTCAGCATTCCAGTTATATCACAGTTCAAGTGAAATTTTTGTGCATAAGACAATCCGTATCCAAGATTGAAAATTAAGTTACTTCAATCCCATTTAATTAGTTTTTAGCATAAAATTCACGTAAAGCACACACTGAATGTACATTATACGCCACTATCAGACAAACATTTCCTATAACAATATTCCGTGAACTCATGATGCATGCATGTAACCATAAAAAAATCAACTTCAAACTATAAAGGAAAACTACTAAACCCTTGCCTCTCAATGGATGGATTTTATTCCCTTGATGAGGTCCTTGACCATGAGATTCAACAGCTGGGCGCACTTTAGGAGTGCTTTCACCACTACTGCAAGGATTGTTCACTTTTGTCACTGCAATACACATATAATGTAGCAAACATAAGTAGTTAGTTAGTATATCTAAAAAAAATTCTCAACAAGTATCTTCAATAATAAGTCTACTTTTCATGAATAAAATCCCAGGATCAATAAAATAAAGAAGGTACAGAAAGTTGTAGCATTTAGTACCAGGGGATAAATTGACAGTTTGCAAGGTGTTGTTTGACCAGGATGACACCACAGTGTTCATAGGAATTTTAAGCATTGCTGGGGAATCATTTTTCAGGATATATCCAGGTTCAAGCAAAGAAGATGAAGATTGAAAAGATCCTGATACTTGTGGGAGTACAGGAGCTGCCAGATATCAATTTTGAATTATTAGATGTAAATCAACTTAAATTGTCTACAAAAAACATGGCAAAAGATTATTACCATTTCTGGAAGCTTTTTGGGGATATGGATGTGCTGCTTTTCTTTTAGGTCTGGGTGGCGGAAGATGTTCACTTGCTCCACTCTTCTGAACTTTGAGAAAGTATTTCTGTGCATGACTACGTATCTACAAACCCAGTAGAAATTATAATTAGTCCTTAAGCTAAATTATAGTGAATTTGGATGAGGAATTGAAAGAGGCATTCAAGTTTTAAATGGATTTAAAACCATATAGCATATCAAAATGAGTTACTTGGATATCAAATGCAAATAAAATTCATAATGCTGGGAATTTTAAAGAGGTTTTATTTTCAAGTAAAATGAAGGGATTTCAAATTGTTATAATTATAGAAATTATAGAAATAAGGAGTTGGTCTTATATAATCAGGAATATAGATTATATATGTATTATTAGGAATATTTTTATTTATTTACACATCATATTTTTGTTATTAGAGGATATCAAAGCTCCTCTATTTATTGTATTGAATTACTCTTTTCTCAATATAAATAAAGCACCTACGATGTCTTAGAAACACAAGGTTTCAGCTTAATGTTTCTCTTTCCCTAGAGTTTCACACGAATAACATCTAAAATAAAAGCATTTTGTAGTTCCTCTCTTCTCTATCAGTGTCACTGCAAACTCTCATCTCTGACCTTTCTTTCGTATGTGCTATCCACGCTGCTCCTCCCTTTCTATCCCTTTTCTAAGCATCTCTCTTTCACACCTCCCCCAATCATTTTATCACTTCTCTTCTCGCCCTCACTCTGCCCTCTCTTCCGCACCTCTTTCTATCCATTAGCAAATATATATACTTTTTAGTTTATATGAAACAAAATTACACTTTATTTATTAAAATGTTAACAATATTTACTTTTCCCCCTCCTTGCTAAACAATACATTTTTAGTTACAAAATTACATTAAAATCAGATCACAAACTGCTTAATATTTGACTTTGTAGTTAAAGATTACCTATGAAAAAATTATATAATTACTCATTTAATTTCACATATGATGGATATTAAATAATTTTATCTGCACAAAGAATTGAAAATATAATATGAATTTGAATTGTTTATCCAAAATAAAGAATTACGAAAATGAAAGGAATGTAATTAAAGTAAGTAAATTCCCATGCAATTCAAATTCCTTAGAACTTTTAAGATTCTCTATCCAGAAACTACCTTAAGGAATGGAAATTGAAATCTAAAGTCGAAAAAAAAAAATAACACAAGCCCTAACAACTCAAACATTCATTTATATTCAGATTTTCAAGCCAGCTCAGCTCCATACTTCTGTCTCAACCAAAACAACAAAAAAGCATTTTCCCACTAAGCGTGGTCAGTGGCATGGATCAAATTACACTTTAAATGTTCTGTCATAAATAATATCTAACATAAAATACTTCTCCTTGTCACACTTGCTTTTCTTTCAGTCAAAAGAATCAGCATGTCATCAAAAGCAATTTTTCATTATTTCTTTCAGAGGAAAAACCATTCCCTACCCACATGTGTAGCTAAGTTAAAGATTACAAAACCATGCTGAATCTGCATCTAACACCTAAGCTTTTAGGTACATGACATTTTTTAAGAGAGTAACAAGTTATGATATGAATGATGGGTATAAACTGTAACAATAATTTAATGATAAAGGATTAAAATTCAAAAGGTTAAAACGATGCATTTATTAACATATATCACAAAGTGACCACAATTAGAATACCTATACTACTAATCTAGTTTATGGAATAAACAATTTGTTTGACAATGAAGTAATAGAAAGCTCAATAACACTATAATGCAATAACTTGCATTGAATAGAAAGAAAGAACAGGAAATTCACGTTATACCTCAAATTTTAAATTAAAGTATCTTGCCTCAAAAACAGGAGTAAAATGGGTATTAGGTTTAACATTTTTTTGACTCATATAACCTTCCTTAAATGGACTGCAAGTCAACAAACCAACCTTACTATAGCAGCGAGCACAATATGACAGTGAGAAATACATGGTGAATCAAGGAGAATATGGTTGAATAAAGAGCATTTCTTTGGGGTGGGTGGGAATAAGACCTATTGATAGAAACCAAACAATTACTGAATATCAAAGTTGTATTATTTAGAGTATTATGCAGTAAAAAGATGATTGAGCTGAAAGCTCTACAGCCACAAGGAAAACCCCAGAGTCCTAGACTCCTCCAGAGGATTATTCTCCTCCTAACCAACCTAACCAACTCACAACCTCCTACTCCCGTACCCCCACACTCTCCCTACTCTCTCTTATAACAGAATTTCCCCCATCCTTGGATTCTTGACACGTCATTCCCCATCCTAACTAACTTCTCCCTATTTCTTTTCCTAACCCCATTTTCTTTCTTCTTACATACACATTCCATATTTTGGGCCTATCTATTCCTTCTATAATTTTTCCTTGCTGAGTAACAAGCCCATGTGCACTTCCCATGATCCTTATTAGGAGTCCTATCACCTATCTTTTGACATTTAATTTCCAACAAGATATAGTTCCTTCGGGAAAATTTGAAAACTACATAATCAATTAACGACATTCCAACACCAAGGATTTCAAATTATTTTTACGTAATGTTCACACTTAACATGATACCCTGGCCCAAATTTTTAACTGTGCATAAGCCTTTTCTAGCCTAGGATCTATTGAATCTCATCCCAAAAAATTGAGAACAGAAAATTTAACAAGAAAATGAGAGATGGCATACTTTAACTGTACAAGCTAAAATGAAATATCTATACTTAACTCCAGAAATGTTAAAGAAAATTATGCACTTCTAGCAAAAATGGGATTTTTGCTCATTAGAATTACCTGTATAACAGTCTTTGATCCAACAAATGCTTCAATCTTTTTCCAGTCACGGTCAAACCTGTAAACAAATGAAGGAGCAAAGCAATGTGAGGGCAGAAACAAATACTAGCTTTAAATTGCAACACTAGGGAATGGTATTAAGTATGACCTCTCAATGAAGCTGTCCACCACAATAATCCAATGATTTACAACATTATCAAGTTTTTCCAAAATTTAAAATAAAGTGAAAGATAATTTGAACAGTATTTTTATTTTCAATAATATTTTATTGGATAGCAGTGTATATGGTTTCTCTCTGGTGCCCTAATATATGTTTCAATGGAAGTTCTATTACTGAAAGACAAAAAACTCACATAACTACGCCTTTTTAGTCACTTTGGCCCATTAGATCCTTTTTTTTTCCTTTTAAGGTAGAGTTCTTATCTTTCACTTATATATATCTCTTATTTGTACTTAATAATATTTTCCTCAACCAAAAGAGGTAATAATCTTCCTAATATGATCATATAAATTAAACTAAGGAATCTACATTAATGCAGCTTCAGGTAATTCTGTGTCCTATCATGAACTAATAACACACATTAATACAATCCCAAGAAGAAACATCATGTCAAAATATAGGCATTATGTGCAGGAAAAAGAAATCTTAAATATATTAAAATGTTCTTAAGATTACTTAGTGCAGTAATCCTTTTCTTTTGTCTGATCTATTTTGTTAACGTTGTGATTGCCAATGTCTTTGGGCTCAAATGCACCTATTCTTTCTAGCTTATTTATCATTGTAAGGAAAAATCAGCTTTCGTTATAATTACAAGTGGAAAGATCAGAACGGAAATAGTAAAAGGTTCAAACAACTAATTCCAATTATTCCGGCTAGTCCATATTTGGAGCCAAGCAAGCACTGGTCAGAAGGGAAGACGACAGCCATCTTCAACTGGTTAAACCCCAGCCAACAATAGTAATAGAAGCAATCGGAGGATTACAAGGTACGTTGAATAGAACTTTTATTGTTTTGCTTTAGTATCAACTAAAATATTGAGTATTGTCCAGATGTCCCCAATCCCCACTCTCTGTCCTTGGTATGGACATTCAAACTTTGCTTAAGATCCCGAATCTACCACTTATCCAATTGATATCTCAAATTAAACTCCTTCACCATGGTTTGCGTGCCAGACAGGGTTTCAACCAGCAATGATAATTAGACACCATAAAGAATAAGTAACTATGTCAATGCCAGCATGTAACAAAACATTTTGAAAGAAACTAGCTTCGGTTTCCAATACTCTCTTTTAAAGCATCCCATCACATTATTCACCATTTCTAAGTTCTAACGAGAATCCATGCTAATATTAGCAATACCACACCCGTGGACCAGTTTGGTTTGAGATAACGTGTTCTACCTGTTTTCCCTGTGTTTTTAATTTTTCTCCTATTTTCATTCACAATTAAATAAATCCTACTTTGTTTTCCAACCATTTTTTCTTATTTTTAAATATTTCTACATTAAAAAATTTAAAAATGAAAGAAAAAACAATACCCATTTCTTTAGGGAAAAGATAAATTAAAAACATAAAACATTTTATCACACCAAATACGCCCTTAATTCAGCACTGCTTTGACAATGTTAAAGCAGCATAAAAAACCAAGCTTTACCCTATCCATTTTAACACACTCACCGTCATAAAACACAAACCCCAATTCTTCCTCCGCCAAACCCACCCCAAAACCCTAATTCCCACACCCTCACACACAACTCAGCACATGCAACTCAGAAAACCATCCCCGAGCACTAAAATTCAACTACTCAATACCTCAACCGAGCTTTAAACCTCAATCACTGAATAATTCTCAGAAGCAAAACCAGAATTGAACAACAATAAAAGGAGCGAACTTTATTACAGTTGAAGGGCTTCGAGGAACTTGTCGTGTTCTGGTTCGGTCCAGTTCTCCCGCGACTTGGTGATTGTGTAGGGCTTACGGATCTTCTTGGCTGCATCTTCCGAGGAGTTGGAGGCGGAGACGGCGGCAGCAGCAGCAGCAGAGACGGAGGCGAAGGGAGGCATCCCTGGGAGAGCCATGACAGTCGGATCCAAGTAGAATCCCTCCGGCGGGTTCGGGTTTTTGGATACCATTCAAAGATTCTAGAGAGAGAAAGAGGAGAGAGAGATTTAACGTTGAATTTGTGGCGAAACGTATGGCAAATTTTTGTAAGAACAATTGTTAGGTATGGTTTACGACTGGCGCTATTTCTACACAGAGAAATATTAAAAAAAACTATTTATTTAGGTATAAATGTTAAAATAGTTAATAATTTGTATTATTTTTCTAAAGTTATATTTTCAAACTTTTAGATGCCTAAATTTTGTTAAAAGGAATTTAACAGAAAATCAAATGTGTTCTCTCTTCACTTAATCACTTTCTACTCAATTAATTAATAGTTATATTTTCTATTTCTCCTAAGAGAGAACAAAAATTTATTTTATTAATTCATAATACTTGTTATAAATGCTCTCAAAATGTTTTTTTTTTAATTTTTTGTGTGTGCTATTATTGCTTCTACTTTGTTCTAGATGGGAACTTAACATGATAATAGATAGTTGGGCAAATTTCATCTATAGATTACCTAACTTCACATAAAATATTTAAAATATGAGTTCGATCATAATATTGAAGAATATAAGAACCATAGGCCAATCCAAATAGCAATAAAAGGCAAACATTAAATAGACATGTTTTTGCCATATATTAAAAAAATAATAGACCTTTATATTTTTATGAAAATTATAATATCCAATATATATAAAAAGTATATTAGATATTATAATTATTAGTGAAGAATTAATGTAACATCCCAAAAATTATACAGTCATCAACCATATACTTAGAATAATTACACGTATCAATAACTCAAAACAGTTTTAAAAGTGAAGGAAACAGATTTAAATAAATGGCCGAACGGCCTTTCATGTATAAATTAACGAGCGTTTACAAAAGAAATGAGGACGAACGATTTACAAAAGAATTGACCGAACGTCCAAATATGTACAGCAACAAAAGAACACTCGCTCACAGCCGCTCGATATCCTATCTACACTAACTAAAACCGAACGCATTTACGGTTCGGCCTTCACCTCGACTTCCACTAAGTTTTCTTCAGCAATGATTTCCTCCTCAAGTGTTTGCTCCAAAGATGCATCACCCTCTGCTCACATCCACACGGATGATCATTGCATTTGACAAGACGGATATACATAGACAAGACAACACAATGGAAAATGCAAGGGTAAGCTTATTGAATTTAATTCAAGTCAAACATACATTTCATAC